CTTCGATGTATACGCTCCCCAAGCCGCTCGTTTCCTCCTGCTCAGCTCTGGAGCTAGATCGTTCATCATATTGATTTCCCGACCTAGGTACACGTAGCTGGAGCATTCGGTGATGTTCGTTCCGTTGAGCGTGAATGGGGCATCAGGAACCAATCCGTTTCTCATAAACATCGTCTTCGTCAGGTTCCTGCAGACTAATTACTACCACAGATTCCTTTCACTGATTTTCCTCTCTCACTGAAAGATCTCTAGCCGGTTGGTGGCGAGGCTACGTGGCGCGACCCCAGGTGGCGGATAGGGGGTAAATCGCGGACCAAAAGCCACCATGTACTTGCCCTGAGACGCAGGTGGATTCAGGGGATGGACTCCCTGTTTCTGTAGTGCTGTGTTGATTCATACCAGCTGTCTCCACTTAGTCGCATGGTTGCGTGTGTTGTGCGCTGTGTGTCCAAAAACAAGTTTCCGTGTTTCGCTCTAGAATAGCGTGGCTAACTACCAGGAACTCTATACTAGCCCCCACAACAGAACTTGGCAAGCCACTCGTGGGCCGCCAATGCTGAGAGCAGAGCTTGCAGTGCTGCGTAGCTATGAAATACACACATGTTCAGGACTGTTCTCGCGTGGTTTGTGAGCGATCCAGAAGAGACGGCTTGCGCACCGGAAAAAAACCGAATCAAAAGCAGGTCCGAGAACCATCTGAGATATTGCAAGTGAAGTGTGCCTCAATCATTCGCGATTTAGGACGAGAATTCGGACGGAACTAATCAACTTACATCACTATTTTTCTTTATGTGGTCCTTTAAGCAGCCGCCGTCGATGAACTCCATAACAATCATGACGTCGTCAGCGCTCTTTTGTACGACTCCATAAAACGCGACCAAATTTCTGAAAAATTCTCAATTAAAGCTCTCAGCAGCGGATATACAGAAGAAATTGAATTGCAGTATCCATACTTATGTTTATACTGTCGCATGAGGCGCGCTTCCCTATACATGGCCTCCATTAGAGCCTTATTCTCTTCGTTTACTTTTTTCTGGAACACAAATTTCAGCTCAAATCCTTCACGAAATTGATCCAAATTGATGCGTTTTATATTTGGACAATACGTTCACGGTCATAACTTTCCGCACAAATAACACGGAAATGGGAATCGTTTGTGCAATGAAAATGGGTGAAAATAGTGTTTGGGGAAAATCCCTGTCATCTGATCCTTAGTATTATAGAGACCAAAGTAATGTACACATCCGCCCATCCTGCCCATACATATGTCACCCTATCTTTTACATCTGGTCACACACCCTGAAGCTTTACCCATAGGAACTGGCGAAGACAGCTATTTCCCTTGGTTCAGGAACGTCTTCTTGGACTGCTGCACACCCAAATATGGCAAACTCTTAGGAGTACTCTTACAATTCACTGATACTTATCATAACAATCTTTCAAATAGGTCTTGAGAGTGAGGAGGGCTTTTTATTCTTATCCTCGGTACAGGAGTGCTCAATGGAGGGCCTCCTCTCCTAAACACCAGTCCCACCTCTTGTGAATTCTCAGCAAAGAAATGCCTCCCAGTTTCCGTATGAAACACAGATGTTGTCCGGCCCACCTACCGACTGAACACTCGCCGCAAAACTCTTCTCGTTTAGCGGAGAGCGCCATCGTTTTACATCAATGCGGAAATAATCGGGCAAGGAAGGAGCACCACCGGCCATCTCTACTCTGGCCACAATGAGCTGCCGTCTAGTCGTAAATTCTGCTTTTGAAAACTGCTTTTTAGTGAGACAACAGGGAGCATTTTGTGGATTGTTCCTTATAACGATTCAGATTATTCTAGGCTGCCTAAAGCTACGAGCCGGGACTAATTGTCAAGAGCCAATCCCTCCTGCTTGAGTGAGAAAGAAGGGTCCTCAAGCACAAGAGCCTTGACACTGCCGCAATGCAAAAGTGCGCAGCAAGCGCGCCAAGATGTTGCCTTGCACGCTGCCGGCGCTGCCGCTCTATCAATCGCGGCATACGTGGTGTTTGCGCCCTCTCGCGTACGACGTGCTCTCTCGCGTTTTCCCTCTCCTCGCAGCGCTGTGTCTCTCCTTCAACCACGGCCGACCTCACAAGGAGAATTTCAATGTTTTTTAGGTGCTTTCCCCTCACTAATTTTACTCTTCGTGCTTCTTGTCATGTTTTCGAATCAAAATAACACGCCACTTTTATCACGACTCATTCCTTCAAACCCAACACTGCACCAGTGTGCTAAACGAAACGGTTCACGTAATTTCGTGGATGATGAGCGTCTCGCAAAAGAATTCCGAGAAAATTAGGTGCTGAGGTGAAACAAAAGATGGGTAGGAAAGAGAGCATGAGTGTCGAACTATGGATGCAGACAATAACATTTGCGACGGCGTTCGTAAGCAGAGATGTAGAGTGTGCAAAGATGGAGGCCACTAGCTCTGCGGACCCAGGTGCCTTTTACAGGGAAGAGATTATTTGTGCGGGACCCTCACGGAGTGTTTCTTCAATGAAAAATCTCACCATTTTAATGGCAACATCGACCGGAGGTTTGCTCGGTCCTTCCTGCATAGTCCCTCGCCAAACTTCACCGAAAGCTCCAGTTCCAACTATTTGCACCATTCTGATCTTGTCAATTGTTAACTCCCAAGGCTGTTTACATATGGGCTTTTTGAGAATAGCTTCATAGGCAGGTTTTGCCGACGAAAGATAGTATCTTGAAAGGGAAACTGTGAAATGTAGTGAGAACACATGAAAACCTTCTCTTGTTATAATGTGATCAGTTAATAGCCTGTTTTTGGAACCTCATCCCTGCTATAAGTCATGTCCCACATAATTTAATGTTTAAGAGTGTCAGCAAATCGCATGCGATAGCCAACAAGTTCGAACTACACACTTGTAAGACTTACTGCACATTAGTGTTCTTGCTCGAAACTCCCACGAGATTTCAAACAATAAGATAAATTCTGATAATCCCATTAAAGAGCAGCTTTTGTTTGCAGGGCAAACTTTGACCCTTGGACCTTGCACACGGGATGGAGTGCCACTTGCCAACACTTAGGCGCTCAAGAATGTTTCGTTGGAATGAATTTCATGGTGTCAGAGAGGTATATGCTGGCCCCAGTAGATCAGCTGTCTGAACCAAGTAGATCGTAGAGAAGGCGGCAGTTGCTGAGCACAGGGAGTCAGGAGAGACCACTTGCCAATTCCCGAGTTAACGGGCTCCGGTTGTTCAGAGTTCGGTGCCTCTTACCAGCGCTTCCAGCTGCAGAGTTTCTATCGCTTCCATCCAGTGTGGTGCCTTCAGCACTTGGGGTAGTTTCGAGCGGATCCTTCGTGCTGAAGGGAGAGAGGCTTAGTGGCTCGTAATGGAGCCTCAGTGGCTTAGTTATTTGGCCTTAGTGGCCGAGAGAGAGGAGCCTCCGTGGCTCGGTGATCGGGCCTCAGTGACCAGTTGGGAAGAGCCTTAGTGGCTCAGAGGAAAGAGCTTTGTGGCTCATCTCAGAGAATGGATGCACCGTGCGGACGTCCACGCAAGGGTCTCCCGATTCCTGCCGTCACAGTTCGCCTCTGGACATTTAGTGACCTTTCTTACTTGTTTGTTGTTGTTGATTTTTCTTCTGAATAAACTTTCCTTTCCTACTTGTCTCAAACACAGTTAAAGGTTACCCTCGCATCGCAGTAAACGAATCCGGCTATTACGTTACATGGGGGTCGAACCGGGATGCATGGTCATGAATTTCTAGTGCCGGGCCACAGCACTAATCTCCTTACTTTGGTCTTTTTTTTTTTATTTTTTTTTTTTTCGGTTTATCGTAGCCATCTTTTTTGAACTTTCCCTACAAAAGAAAACACTCATTTGGAAACCATGACGTACTTCACAAGTTCCATTATGTCATTGCTCTGAACAGTTCCGTCCAGGGTGTATACGCGCTCATTGTTCCGTAGCATGTAATGTACAGGAAAGTCTCGTACTTTTCCCTCCCATTTCACCGACAAGCATACCTGCAAAGCTCTGTTTCAAATTAAGTGACACCATGAGTACATTAGCGGAAAGTTTTGTGGAGCAGTCATCAATGTATAGCACAAACCTGCTAAATTGCGGTGGCGCTCCGAACCATTACAAGGTTTTCCACCACAATTCATAATCTTGCAGGCAATTTTGTAATGTTGCAACCAAATTCGTAAACCTTGCAACCAATTTCTTCTAAAGACAATTTTTCATTCTTGCAGGCAATTTCGCAAATGCTGCAATCAAATTCGGCCACTACTGCGCCGTTACACCGCCCTGGGAGAGATAGGTCAAAAAAATTCCGCTGAAGCTTCTCCTACGGGCATTAGGGTCCTTATCACGAAAGTGACATCCATTTTTGGTACTGACACCAAAGTGGCGCCATTTGGCGCTAATCGGCGCCGCGACTGATTCCCACTAAATTCACAGAAAATTTGTGTTTAGGGGTTACTTGGGCGCATGTGACATTAATTTTCAGCGTTGGCGCCTTTTGGCGCCAGCTAGCGCCATTTTACTACAACAGCTGTTTCCGCCAAATTAGGTGTAGACTTCTGCAAAGGAAATTTTGGTGTTTTAATTTCGGGTCATTAACGATGAAAAATCTTGAAAAGCGCATGTGTTTTACACTACGAAAATGCGATCTCATGAGGTCTCTAGAATGCGATTATTTCAAAAACATGGCAGCGTCGTAAATTAGAAGATTTTCTTTGTCCAACGACTTCATTCATCCGGCAGAATCGGCGATGTTGAGGAATTTTGCAAAAGAAACGAGGAAAATTTTGAAAGGCGCAAGTTTTGCACTTTCAAAACCAAGGCATACTTCAATGGCACCAAACTAAGACAATCTATAGCGTGCGAAATAGAACATTTACTCTATGGAAGTGGCCAATTTCGCGTCCGTATCCAAAAATGGGTATGATTTTCGTGATCAGGCCCTCGATAATCCTCATAGCAGAAGTTAAGCAAAGAATTTTTTTGACCTGTCCCCACCACAATAGTTTGATAGCGCAATAGTGACCGAAATAGACTGCAACATTTGCGAAATTGCTCGCAAGAATAAAAAATTTGGTGCTCAGAATGGCGAAATGGGTTGCAAGGTTTACTAAATTGAAAATTGAAATTGATTGCAACATTTACGAAATGAATACAAGGTCTACGAATTTTGGTGGCTGTATTTACTTACTAAGGTCTTCCACGCTTTTTTGGCTCACAGCTCACATGCCATAATTGTCGCATCACAATCACAACATCACGAAACATTGATAATGCGAGACCTATGGCTCAACACTTTGTTTGCGGTTGATTTATCCAAGCTTCCTTATAACACCCTATAATGTGCAAGGACATTTCGCGACCCAACGAACTTACAGACCGGTATACCGATACGCCAAGCATGTGATATGTTATATGATGTAGGAAAGGTTTACTGGTCGAGTTGAACATGAAACCAGATGACCGGCGAGACTGCCCGAGCAGACCTTCTCTTATGTCGGCTTTCTTCGAGCATTTCGGGAACCCTATCGCCGATGCGCTCACATTTCCTTTTTTGTGCTTCACAACAAGCAGGGAGTTAATTACTTCCAGGTGAGTTGCTGATTGCTACCACTCAGCCAAGGCCTTCACTTCATTATATAATCAAAAATTTGGTGTGTCGGTTTGTCGATGTGTGTGCCGTTCTATTCGTCCGGACCAACCACTAACAGAACCGGGGAGTTCAAGGGGGTATACTTCGTGATGTTGATGTCACGATAATAGCGGCTATATAAACACCGATCGAGCACACTCAGTCTCATTTTACATGGTGCTGCAGTGGCAGCTGGATGGGGGTAGAGGAATAGGGTAGGAAGGGGTAGGATGGGGAGGGGAAGAGAGGGAGGGAGGGAGGGAACGAGGGGGAGGAGAATAGGGAGGGAGGACATGGTGCTGCCGTTGCAGCAGGAGGGGAAGAAGAAGAGAGAGGGGGTGGGAGAAGATGCAGGAAGGGAGAACAACCGCTTTCAAGAGGAAGGGCTATATACGTGTTGACGTATTACTCTTATGGAGCGTTCAGAGTTGGCGATCGCACGTGCGATTAGGCGTAGGCTATCAGGGGATTAGGCGATCGCTTGATGGGCGGAGCATCAAATCAATACACATCCTTCTCTTATCGCCTACTCGCCTACTCGCCTAATCGCCCACTCGATTACTAATCGCCTAATCGATACGTACGATCGCCAACTATGAACGCTCCATAACGTGATGTTGTGACCCTGATAACAGCCACAATGGCTATATAAACACCAATCGAACACACTCAGTCTCATTCTATTATCATAAGTGGAAGGACCATAGCGGAAGACGTGGTGCTTATGCAGGGAAGCACCGTCCCGGCGATTGACGGGGGACCAATCTGGTTTTTATGTGAATGGTGAAAACGCTGTTGTTTTCAATCCAACTTACCATAGCGTGGTGATCTCCTTCAGGCTCCAAGCCTCTTAGAAGGAAGTCTCCGTCGTTCTTCATCAATCCAACTATGTCTTCATACGGTAGATGTCCATGATACCATTCTTCTTTTTCTAGGTCCTAAATTTCTGAATTTTATAGCTCTGCCTTCTTGCTTAATCTATTATGTCGCATATACCGCCAATGTTTTTTCTAATGCACGGTCCATCAGTAGAATTTCATCCGTCTTGGGACTTTTACTGGACTTTTCCTTAACAAAACCTATAAGATTCCCCTCAAGCGTGATGTAGAAATTTTGGACGTACTAATGCTTGGAGGCTCTTTTCGCTATTGTCCGACGATAGTTTCTTGTCTCCATCCGCGATTGATTTTGACTCCTGATTTGCTTTCAATTCCTACAGAAAGAAAACTGAATATCTTGAATAGAAACAAATTCTCTGATACACACTCCTCGCAAAAGATGATAGATTCTACTGTAGCAATCATGTGTAAGTACGAGGCGGTCTGTGTACCTTATGCCTATCTATGCGAACAACAACTGTGCGCGTCCTCAAGAGTTTCTACCATTCTACAGTAAGCAATTTGAAGGTAATTTTGACAAATTCCATGTAAATAAAGAAACGCTCATGCGAATAGGCAGGTGAAAATGAGAAAGCCCTACATTTTCCTGCAAATATTAATGAATCCCTGTCTTGGTGTGTTATACAGAATTGTAGGAACATTTCACCCAAGGCGCAGATTGGCAAACTTTTATCGCCGAGGTGCCGCCGTTCATGAAAGTTTTACGGCGAAAATTCTTTGAATTCGCCGCCCCCCCTCGGTAGCAAAAACAGTTCTTTTTCACTGTCCAGACCGTCTTCAAAATATGACGTCATCTGCAGTGCAACTCCAGCCCACTGTAATCGCTCCAGCCCAAAGCTGCTACACAATTTCTTCAATCAATTTGGGCAGTGCGTTCGGCGCGAGCGGTCGGCTCACCCTGTGCTCTGCCGAATAGGGTATTGCTTGCTGTTCAGACTGATTATTTTGCTACCACGTTCTAGTCGACGATTACTACCTACTGCCCGCTACTGTGTCAGCTCAAGCCAATCATATTGTGCTGCACAAATCGCTGGAATTCTGTATTCCCTAACCTTGAGCCTTCCACTGACACCGTCCAACTGGTGGACTGATCGATTCGATTAATTCCCGTCCACTCTTTGATCTTGCGAGTTCCCTTGTGGCTGGGGATTGTGTGTTCGGTTAAGCCACCGCTCCAGGTGATTTTGTACCCATTCTTCTTTTCACGTGTATATGGACACGCCTGCTGCTCCTCCCGTTCAGGGACGTCGAGGTAAAAAGCACCGGATCGATCTATCCAGTCCGACCACTGATATGGATCTGAATAGAGCAATCGAACTGATCATTGGAGATTCATCGATCCCGCCTCACCTCAAGGCAGCGATGGGGTGCCTGCTGGAACTCAAAGAGCAAATGTCTTCTGTGTTGTCAAAAAATAAGGAACTCATGGAAGAAAATAGAAATATTCGCCGGAGGAACAGTGAGTTAGAGAATGAGGTTCATTGTTTGAGATCCCAGATTGTCGCTCTAAAACAGGCATTACCATCTCAAGCTCCCACCAATGTTCATTCTCAGAATTCTTCATCGGATTTTGTTTCTTCTTATGATGACAACGATCTGGAGCGGAGACGTTCCGTGGTTGTTATAGGAGTAAAAGAGAGTTCTGATCCTATTGCATCTGCTCGTGTTCTTCATGATACCTTCTGCATTAGGCAAATCTTTGACTATTTATCAGTTGAGTGTCGGCCTGTTGCCGTATATAGAATGGGTCGTGTTGTTCCAAATAAGTCTAGACTCTTAAAAGTTGTATTTCCATCTTCCTTTTTCGCTTCCTTGATACTGAAGAGATCTTCGCAACTCAGGTACTTCTCAGAGAAGGGTATATTCATTAGACCGTCGTTACCGAAATCCGAGCGTGAGCGTTTGAAAGCTGAAAGGCTTTCTCTTATTAGGTCTCGTGTACAGCATACTGAATGCTCGCAGTTGCCACATCAAGATTCATCTGATGTTACTGTTGTTTCTTCTCATCCAATTCATGAACCAGCATTGCAGACGATTGTTAGTGCTAATAATGACATTCATGGCGTTCATTCGGGAAACATGTAACTGGTCTTTGGTTACCTGGTGCAAAATTCTCTACATATGCTGTTCCATTTGAATCGTTGAAATCACAGACAGAACCCAACCACTTCTCTAAGTCTCAACGTCAGTTTAACTCACTTGGAACTTTGTTCAGCCCCCAAGCTGGTATAAAATGCCTGTTGACAAACATTCGTTCTCTTGTTAAAAATATCAGTTCTTTATGCTTCTTGCTCAGTAAAACTGACTACGGTATTATTGCGCTTTCGGAAACATGGCTTAAATCTAACACTGAAATATCGTCTTTGCTTGGAGATTCAGTTACCAGTTATGAAGAGTTTAGGTGTGACAGAAAACGGATAAAGGGTGGTGGTGTCCTTTTACTGATCAAGCGCTCCTTATATCCTGTCTTGATTTTTACGGAAGCAGTCACTGGTGGTTATGAACTGGTTGCGGTTGATTTATTGGTCGGTCATGAGAAATGCAGAATTATCCTGTGCTATAAAGCTCCCAGTTGTCACAGTGAAAAATGTGACATGTTGATCAAATGCATTAGCGATTTGTGTGCTGCTACGCATGTTTGTCTCTTAGTTGGTGACTTCAACTTTCCTAACATTGACTGGTCAAATTCAGAATACGCAGGGGCCGGTGTCTCACAAAAGTTTTTAGATCTGGTAAGGAATAATGGATTATACCAATTTGTGCACTCAGGGACAAGGGGGGATAGCATTTTGGACCTTCTGTTCTGTAATGAGAAAACATTCGTTACCAAGGTTAGGATAGATCCCCCTGTGGGATCAAGTGACCATGCCAGCATTGAATTCTGCATTAGGCTACCCAGTTTAGTGAAAGAGCATTGTTTTCAGCGAGACTTTAGAAAAGCTAACTTTAATATAATCTGTTCCTACTTAGACTCCATTGACTGGTATGGTTCCTTTAATGGCCTCTCAGTCAACGATATGTATGAAATGCTGTTGTTTGTGCTAACAGAGTGCATCCATAGGTACGTTCCATTGCGTAAAGTTAGGAAGGGTAAGGAACATATTCCACCGTTTCTTCAGGCACTTTTCGAGAAAAAAGTTGTACTGTACAAAAAAGCTATGTCGTCAAACTTACCCCAAGACTGGCTCTCTTACAAAGCTCTCGCAGATAGATTTGAGAAGAAGCTGTATAAGTTCAACTGTCATGTTGAAAAGAAAATCATTGAAAACGGGAACAATCTTGCCCTTTTCAAATACATTAAGTCCAAAACAAAGACAAAGGGTAGGATACCTGCCCTTTTGAAACCAGATGGGTCTGTTGTGTTTTCTGACCGAAATAAAGCGGAATTTTTGCGGAAGTATTTGAAAAAGTCTTTGTCACTAACAATGCCCATCTGGAGGTCTGTGATGAATGGTCTGATGTTTTTCCTCAGATGCAAGACTCCTTGTGGTTTAGTGTAGAGGAGATTTCTGAGATCGTTTCCAGGTGGAAGTTCAGTTCCTCAGTGACCCCCGATGGTGTTCCACTTCGTTTTATCAAGAAAGTTCTGCCATCGATTGTTGGCCCACTACAATTTATCTTCAACTTGAGCCTCTTCCGAGCGGAAGTCCCTGAAAGATGGAGGCGCTCCTTCATTACTCCGATTCCAAAAAAACCCCCTTTTTCCAACCCGGCCAACTATAGGCCGGTTAGTATTACGTCTATATTTTGCAGAGTCTTTGAGAAAGTCATCAAGCGAGTTCTAATTGAACATTTAGAGAGCCATAAAATTTTGCCCGATTCACAACACGGTTTTAGGAAAGGCAGGTCAACTGTGACCCAAATGCTCGAAACAATAAATGATTGGACGGTTGCCCTTGATGAGAAGAGAGGTGTGGATGTGGTTTATTTCGATTTCTGTAAAGCGTTTGATAAGGTCAACCATACAAAGCTTTTGATGAAGCTCAGGCATATTGGTGTTCATAAAAGGATAGTGTTGTGGATTGAGTCTTTCCTTAAACAGAGAACATTTCAAGTGCGATTAAATGGAGCGCTTTCAAGTAGTAGAGCTGTGCCCAGCGGTGTTCCGCAGGGCGGTGTCCTTTCACCCGTATTGTTCTGCATTTATTCGTATGAACTGCCTAGGATAGTGGAAGAAATTGGGGTGGCCTGCAAAGTCTTTGCAGATGATATCAAAATCTACAAGCCCATAACTGGAAATAATGATGAAAAGATAGTGCAAGACGCTATTGACGCTGTCGTCAAGTGGTCTAAGTTATGGGGACTGCCTTTGTCGTGTGACAAAACATCAGTTCTGCATCTAGGTAGCACTCACAGTAACTTTAGTTATTTCATTGATGGTTGTGAACTCAAGAAGGTGGAGCAAGTAAAAGACTTAGGCTTTGTTATTGATCATAAGCTGTCGTTCGACTCCCATTGTATGGAAGTAGCTAACAAGGCAGAGAAGAGGCTCTACCACATACTCAGGAGCTTACACACTAAGGATCCATGCATCCTCATCAGAGCTTACAAAACATATGTTCGTCCACTTCTAGAATATGGGTGCCCAATATTCTATCCTCACAATAAAAAGACTATTTCTAAATTGGAAGCTGTTCAGAACAGCTTCACGAGGAAGATCCTAACCAGGGCGTTGGGTTTCAGTTATAATGCCATTCCAAGAGGTCTTGTTAGGAATAAGATGTTGGGAATTGAGTCCCTTCTCTGTAGAAGGAAGAAATTGGACTTGATAACGGTATTCAATATTATCACTGGCAAGTCGGCGGTTGATTTACGAGGCGCTGTCACACTTTATCCGTCAAACACACGAGGTGAAAAATTTAAATTATCCATCACTAGGTCTAGGTCTAACTATAACATATGTAAGAACCATGGCGCTATCATTGCTGTGACCCGAGCTACGAATTTCGTGACAAACACACACACACACACTACACACACACACAGACATACTTAGCGAATTATATATAGTAGGATAAGACATACTTTAGCGAATATATATATAGTAGGATAGTTACGCAGAATATACAGCGAAAAGACTTGGCATTCAAAATTGAAACCTGGAAGCGGAAACCAGGGTCAACCGTC